GTAATCGTGTCAATTTAGATTCCCTATATATAAAAAATAAATGGAGTACATAAAAATTTGAAAATATTTTATAAACTTAATTTTACACTTTTATATCAATTTTACCGATAAGGAACATGTGGAGTTTTCTCTGCAAGTGCTGTTATAACTCGACCTAAAGTTAATAGCGATTGATTAATATTGCCTGCTTCTCTTGCTCTTCGATCAACAGCACCAGATCTTCCAACATTTTCACTACCAGCTAGATCAACTAAATTTAGTTTTCCCGTTTTTAATAACTCTTCTCCATCAATAGTATTTTCCTTTATATGAACAGTGATAGAAAATATTGTGTGGGAACGACTAAAATGTTAATAACATTTATTAAATTCCAAAATGTTAAAGATGCACAAATAATTATTTAGAATATAAATTATTTAAAATATAAATAATTATTTAGAATAGGAGCTACAATTCATAAATTGCAATAATAATATTTCAATATAACAAAATTGAAATATATTGTCATAGTCTATATAATTCTGAGTAACTTTTTCCTATAAATATAATCGAGATAAATATTATAATTATTTTATACATAATTTTCAAAACAAAAACAGAAATATTTTAATATTAATCATAATCATATTAAATCATATTAAAGTTTCAGATAATATATTCAGAGATAATATAATAAATTAATTTTTGAAACTGGATTTCAACCTAAAAAAAGAAAATTCATATATAAATAAGATAAAAAGATGAACCAAAATTTATTATTTATTAGATTTTTTTAAGAAACTCCATTAAACCTTTGTCAAATTAACTCAAATCATTTTTTTCATATATTTAATAAATTTCATATATATTGAAATTATTTTTTTATTATCAAATCCAAATTTAATTTAAGTATAACCAGCATTATTTTATCACGAACTAAAAATATTTTTATAAATAGTTAAAAATATTTAAAAACTTAATAATGATTACATTATAAAAAAAAATTATTTAAAATATTGATTCTACAACATATTATAAGATTATTAAAATCAATGATAATTATTAAAATCAATGACTCCTATTCTAAATAATTATCTTGTACCAATATTAACCTTGAATGTGCATTCATTAAAGTAGCTGCAGTCTGTCGTTTTTCTGATCCTTTCTGAAGAATGTTGAATACTTCATTTTTATTATGTATTGTCATTTCTTCTAAGCCATGTACTATTACTGCACCCTTCTTTGTTGGATCTTCATATATCCTTTTAAATCATTATAATTTTAACAAATCAAAATATTATATAAATAAATAAATTACAAGTTAATTACCTTATTTTAGCAGCATCATCACTGGAAGATAATAAATCAAATATTTCTTCATTATATAATTCTAAGAAACTAGCTCTCACTGAATATTCTTGTACCTCTAATACTCGTAATTCATCAAATAAATGACTTAGAGATCGTGGTATAATTCCAGCAGTAGTATCCTGTAAGTTTTACAGATATATACATATATATATATGTGTGTGTGTATATATATGTATATATATATGCATACATTACAATATATAATATATTCTTTTATGTTGTTTATTTCAAGATTATTATTGGTAGAAAGAAAATGTTAAACCAACTGTTTGCCAATGTAATGATGGATCATTATCAGTTCCTTCCATAGTAAAAGTCTTTCCAGTACCAGTTTGCCCATAGGCAAATACTGTGCAATTATATCCAGCCAAAACTTCTTCCAGCAAAGGACTAACAACTGCATTATATACTTGGATCTAAAAATTTCTTATTAATAATTACACTATTCTGAAATATTGTTTTATTGAAATATATACCTGCTTCACATTAGGTCCAAATACTTTATCAAAAGTGAATTTTTTTGTAAATTTATCGTGAGGCCTTTCACGAATAACTACTTCTTTATTAGATTGTATATCAACAACCGTTACTGATTTTCCAATTTTTTCAACATTATTCGTTGGCCTATTATAAAATAAAACAATATAAATATAATATTATATATTATACATTAAAATAAAATTTTGTAACTTATTTCATATTAAATTGCATTTACCTGACACGAACAAAAACTTGTATGTGTTGTTTTTTTTCTTTTTTCATATTACGTGTATCATTCATTTTTGTAAAATAAATTTTTTTAACACTTTTAATCGCTTTAGTTGTTTTTATTTGATTCTTTTTTCATATAACAAGTCACTATCTTTCACATTGTATATAAACGCTTCGTCAGAAAATTAACCGTTGAACGATTTGAAATTTATATTTCACATAAATCCCAATAGAGGTCTCTTATATCGAACTTTATACAAAAACTCTTCATATTATACACATGATTAAAGGCGCATATATTTAGTTTAAGATAAAATAAGCATCAATGTAGTTGGAGAAAACAATATGAATATAAATTAAAATATTAGATAATGATTGATTTTGTTGCATTTAGCATCGTAATACAATATTGAATAAAGTTTGAATTTTTTAACTCCTTATAATATCTTTGTTTCTATATTTATATTCTATATTTATTTTTAAATATATAATTTTTAACATCTGATCAATTTTATGACTCTCTATATTTTTTCATTAATTATATCTATATTAAAACACATTCACATAATAAAAGCACAAATACTTCAATTATATGGAAATCCATGAAATATCATATATGACATATTAAACATACATTGAAATATGAAATATAAAATATTAAACATACAGTAGATATTATTGCTATTTTGATAGAATTGAAGGAAGAATTGATCAGTAAACTAACTCGTATGAAGATGTAACATGACGCAATATAAAGTGGAAATTATATAGTCATTTCCTCAAAAAAAAATTTTTAGAGCAATTCTATTTATATTATATATTATAGAAAATGTTATAAATGGATCCAAATTTAAATTGTCATCTCTTCAGTTTTAATCCAATAATATCGTTTTTTAATACAAATAATAAAAAATGATGTTTTTAAGTCATTTTTTCATATCAATAAAATAATAAATATTTCACCTATATCATTTTAAAAAAGTGTAACTTTTGTTTTTTTTATTATTTTTTTTTTTAATAAATTATTTCTCTTTGTATAAATTTGATCTTGCAATATCAGCATATTAAAAATAAAATTCAATTTATTAATATAATAATATATTAATATATATTAATATATTAATAAATTTATAACAATAAATAAATAAATTTCATTAAAAGTAACAGATACGATATTAGATAACAAAAAAATGCAAATTAGTATTGTATATTGTATACGATATTTTAAAAGTTAATTGACAATGCATAACTAATGATTACTTGATGTTTTTAATTTTTTTTTTTTTTTTGCGAAAATTTCTGGTTCTACTTTGTTATTAATAAAAAACAATAATAGATTTTGCATCATGTCTTGATATATTATTGAACTTGATATATTATTTAGATTTATATATTATTTAAACTTTGTATGAAAACTTACTGAAGATAGTTAGATAGAAGATAATGGGTGATTTTACAAAAAAAAATTTACAAAATATTTTACAAAACGAAAATTTGCAAAGGAAAAAGCTGAAATTATTTTAGCTGAATTATCATCAATTACATTTTTCAGCATAAAATAATCTATGAAATAATGCAAAAATAATCTATGAAATAATAAGAGATAATAACATTTCAAATCATTTATCAATCATTCTATTAAATGGAAAAGATTCAAAAAGAAACAGATGAATTCTTCATAAAACTAACAAGAATCAATGAATAATGTATCTTTCTATTCTGAATAAATAGCATTAATAAAAAATAAAATTTTTTTCTTTGAAAAAAATTATTATCAAAGAAATGAATATCTTATGGCAATCTCAAATAAAAATCAGAAAATCATGAAATCTTAATGAAGTGATATCCATCAATATTTTGAAAAAATTTAATATTTGTTGAAATATTAAATATTGAAATATTAAAAGTATAATTTATTACAAACTGTTAAATCAAATTGTAAACAATTATTGTAAATTACTATCAATTAAAAATTATATCAATAATTATATATATAATACCAATTAATTCACTTAAATAAAAAATTGGAAGAATATTCAATTCATTGGAAAATTTATATGTTGACGAAGAAGAATATCTTGCAAAACTACTACATGATAACATTAGATCATAAATGTTTCTGATATGAAAGATATAATGAAATCTGCATTATTTAATACATTCATATTCGAACATTTTTAACTTTACTTTTTCAAACTATTATCTTTTTTGAATAATGAATATATTGCTACTTTTAATTAGTTAATAAAATACAAAAATGATTGAACAATTTAATTTTTCTATCAAATTTTTGATATCAAAAAATACTGCATTATTTTAAAATAGAATTATAAAAAATAATAATTATTTTGAATAAAAAATCTTTTTTTTAAATAAATTTTGAATTTTTTTGAAAAATTAATTCATATATATATAATAATATAATAATTATATATATTATAATAATATAATAATTAAAATAAAATAAAAATAATATAATATAATACATAATAAAATATAAAATATAATATATAATATATATATAAATATATAATAAATATATATTATATATATATTATATCATAGACATAATTTAATTAATATAATTAACTTAAAATTTATAAATATCATAATAATTTTAAATTTGAGTTCCTATAAGTTTTTAAGTCTTATTAAGATAAGACTTTTACTAAAATTTTGAAAACATATTAAATTTTAAATCTAATATTAATATATAATAAATACATATCAAATATTTTTAAATATTTCAAATATTCTATCAAAATCAAAATGATTCAGATTTTTTATGATATTAAAATTATAATATAATATATGATATAATATATAAAATTAATTTCAATTGAAATTTAAATACTTATACAATTGAGTAATGTAAATTTTATGCACTTACCACAAAAATTATTTAAAAATAATCATAGACAAAAGTTTTAAAGTTTTAATAAAGTTTATTTATAGGAGACAAATTATTTACTACATTATATAGAAGACATAAATATATTTTTTTTATAATATTTTAATTCTTCTATACTTTCTTTAATATCAGGTAGAGCTCTATGATGCAAAAATTTTTTTGGTATACATTCACTTTTATTTAAATTCCATCTTCTAGAATAAAATTTTAAAAATAAATACATACATGTCATATATTAAATATATACAAATATAAACAATATAAATGTAAATACCTGACTAATTCTTTAATTGTACTAACATCAATAATTCTATAATGTAAATAATCATTGACTAATGGCATATATTTAAGTAAAAATAAACGATCCATATAAATTGTATTACCAGCTAGAGGACAAGTTTGACTAGGAATATATTTTTTCAAGAAATTAAGCAACATTTCTTCTGCATCTTTTAAAGTAATTTTACTATATTTTGATTCTTGTATCAAACCTGACTGAAAAAATATTGCTCTTAAAATAAAATATAAATTTAAATTAATTATTAAAATAAAAAAAATATTTTTATTAAACTTACTTTCGTATGAAAATTCATACACCATTCATTCATATGTTCTAAAACTACATCTGGTTGATTAATTACAATATTAAATTCTTCACTCACTATATTTAAATCTTCATCAGTTATTAAACAAGCAATTTCTAAAATTGTATCTGTTTCTACTTGAAGTCCAGTTAACTGAAACAAATAATTTAATTATATATAATAAATATATATAAAATTAAATATATGTATATATATATATATATATATATATATATATATAAATTAATATTATCATATATAATAATTAATATAAATATATATATAAAATTATAAATATATATTAAAAAAGAATGATTTATGTCATAAATATCAATATTATTAATTATAATGGAAGTATTAGATGCATACTTCTGTATCTATCCATACAATACAATTATGTTTGTTATACATCATATTTATTTATCTTATTTGATAAATTACTTTGTTTTTGTGTTTTTTCTTTTGAAATTGAAAAATAAAATATTCTTGATATTTTTGATATTCTTTTATTTCACAAATTACTTGACAAAAATTGAAAAATAAGATTTATTTAAACTTATTTCAAAAAAAAATATGGTTAAATCTCATTTCAGAACATGTTAAATTTGTGATTTATTTTTTTATAATAATTTTTAATAAAAATGTAAAGTTAAGTATATTTTGACATATTTACGAATCAATAACATTTATGATTGATGCGGAAATAAGTGACTACTTTATTATTATATTCATTCTACATATATATATATATATATATATAGTTATACTTAATTATCCATTTATAATGAGCATTCCGCAGAATGAGAAAATAAAATAAAAAACAACAAGCGACCGAAATTATAATCACCAAGTCTCAAAAAAAATTCTTTTTAAATTCATAAATAAATAATAGAAATGAAAATAGATTTTCATTCATATATAATGAGAAAAAGATATTCATGTTTAAAACGAAATGATTTTTTTTTTAAATTGGAAAAACTATTTGAATATTTTTCTTTTAATATTTACTATATTAAAAGGAAAAGATGTTAAAAAGACATTGCTATGAACTGTACACAATAAAAAATAAATTCGCAATTTTTCACAATTTTCAAAAATTTTAATAATCAATTTTTACATTTTTTAATATTTGTAAAAAGTATTTTTTTTATGTATCAATTGATTTCAATGAAATTTTGTGTATATGTAGGCCAAAAATGTTGAAATTGAAAAATGTTAAAACCCGTAAATTGGAGATTCTTTAGATAATTTCAAGCAATATTTTTCTTTATAGTTTTTACGGCTTTGTTAACGAGTTATCAACAAAAAACATTGGCCAATCACCTTGTACATAATTTATTTAGATTTACAAAAGATATATTTTAAATTTTTATTATAAGTTCAGACAAAAAAGTCTTTAAAATCATGATCTTTTTTAATTTTATCATCAATAATTACGTCAATAATGATTAATACAATGATTAAATCAATAGTAATTTTAAAAAAATTTTTTTACACATTATCTATTAAACTAATCTTTCTAATATTCCAAAAAAATTCAATTTTAAGTCAGTACAATTTTAAAAAAATTTATATTTTTTTCCCTCAATGTACAATGTAACAATTTTCAAAAATTTTTTGCGAATAATTCGAAAATTGGTTATTTATAAAAGATAAAATTGTTTAAAATGATATCCTATACACATTTCAAGTACATTAAAATGAAAAAAGAAAAAAGCTAATCGATATGAATAATAATACAAGTTGACATTATTAATAATAATTTATTAATTAAACTATCTATATACATATATTTATATAGAATGAATATAGTAATGATAATCATTTCTTTCGATAAATGTATCAACATACTTAACCTTACTTTTTTATTGAAAATTTAAAATCAATTTTAAAGAAAAAACGAATTTCCGCAAATAATTATATACAAATTATATAATACAAATTAATAATATAGTCAACAAAACGAGTCGAATAATTTGCAATACTGAATTAATTCTACTTAAAAAAAAAGAACAAAAATAATCTTCAAATCTCAAAAACGTGTCTCACATATAAAAGATTTAACTATATGACCGTTATAAAGTGTTTCGCTTTATAATTATAAATTCTATTTAAATTTCATTTTTTAAAATGATTTATAATTAAAGAAATAATTGCATCCAAAGATTAAAACAGAATATCCTCTATATGTATATAATTACATATTAAATTTTTGTACTTCATACAATATTTTTTTAATAACACATTTAATTCTTAAAATGCTACCGTGAACAAAAAATTAAAAATTTTATATATATATAATTCACAATTTGTAGAATATATTTTTGAATTGAAATTATTTTTGAAAAAACAAAATTCCTCATTGCTTTAGAATAAATTGTTTACTGAAAAACTAAAAAGAAAATTTAAAAAACCAATAACAAATTTGATTTTTATTAACATGCCGCGTAAATCGCATGTTTTATTTTGAATTTTTCGTTCAAGCCATTTGAAATTTTAACTATTAAATAAAAACATTATTTAACTATTATATAAGATAATAATTTTTATTTTGATAGTTATGATCTTTGTATTATACGATTTATATAGTTTAAATGAAAAATTATAGAAAATTGATCAATTACAAAATATATTAAATATTTTTTTCATCTTTCCAGAGCAATGTTAATTTAAAATATATATAATTATATATATATATATATATATTTATATATATATATAAATATAATTATTGTATATAATTGAATTGAATAAAACTTTTTGAAAAAATTTTACAAAAATTTAATTAAAATTCCCCATTAAAATTCTTAAAATTCTAAAAAACAAATTTAAAAAAATCGATATTATTTAATATTAATAATTATTAATCGAGATGATTTGATATATCAATGTTTTCCTATTTTTTTGCCTTCGCTATATATGTATATCATGGCTATATTAAAAAATATAATATATTAAAAGAAAAAATAATTTTATAATTTCATTTTGTGACTCAATTTATAAAAACGTAATTTATGATTTATAAATATATGTGAATACAGAATTTATCAAATAAAATTCGCGTATATATATATATATATATATAATGAATAGTTTGAGAATTATTTAAATATGTAAATATTTTACTTATTTAAATAATTTAATTGTTCAAGAAATATTATATATTTACATATTTTATATATATTTTCAATCTCAAATAATTTAGAAAGCAAATTTATTATGATTTGTCTTTATGAAATGAAATTACATTCATATTTAAAATATTAATTTTTACATATAGGAGCCAATATAAATAATTAAAATTATAAAATATATATAAAAATATATATAAATATAGAACATTGTAAATATAGGAGTTGTTCTTTCGAAAGAAAAATTGTTGGCCCTGAAAAGGGCCGTTTTTTTTTTACTGTCAAAACAAGTTAAGCTCTTTCTCCACGAATTCTACGTGCTAGCTGTATATCTTTTGGCATAATAGTAACTCTTTTAGCATGAATGGCACAAAGATTTGTATCCTCAAATAGACCAACTAAATAAGCTTCACTAGCTTCTTGAAGTGCCATAACTGCTGAACTTTGAAAACGTAGATCAGTTTTAAAATCTTGCGCAATTTCGCGGACGAGCCTTTGGAAAGGTAATTTACGAATCAGAAGTTCGGTACTTTTTTGATATCTTCGAATTTCACGAAGAGCAACAGTTCCAGGACGATAACGATGTGGTTTCTTTACTCCTCCTGTTGCAGGTGCACTTTTACGCGCAGCTTTTGTTGCTAATTGCTTTCGAGGTGCTTTACCACCAGTTGACTTACGAGCAGTTTGTTTAGTACGAGCCATTATATTTTAATATCAAACTCACGGTGCAGGTCAACTCAAAAATACTACTTTACTATCGAGAATGCAGTTTATATAGCTTGTAGGGAAAGAGCTTCAAGCATTTGGTTGGTTGGTTGTTCAGTTCAGGCGGGAGAAGTCTTATGATTGGTGATTAACGAAAAGAGGGGATGCATTAACGAAATTGGATTGGATTATTGAATAAATAGTGGGGGGATGTGCATTTACTATATATAGAAGAATTATTTCGAATTGAGAATTGTGACTTCTCTTGTTGCGTACGTTGAATTTTATTTATAATGACTGGACGTGGAAAAGGCGGAAAAGGATTGGGAAAAGGAGGTGCAAAAAGACATCGAAAAGTACTTCGAGATAATATTCAAGGAATTACCAAACCTGCTATTCGACGATTAGCAAGAAGAGGTGGTGTTAAGAGAATCAGTGGTTTAATTTACGAAGAAACACGTGGAGTACTAAAAGTATTTCTCGAAAATGTTATTCGAGATGCAGTTACATATACTGAACATGCTAAAAGGAAAACTGTAACAGCAATGGATGTAGTTTATGCATTAAAACGCCAAGGCAGAACATTATATGGTTTCGGCGGATAAGTTATTAAGATTGAACATCAATTTTTTTTTAAAAATTACAACCGGCCCTTTTTAGGGCCACCATATTTTTTGAACGTATGATAACTCTTCATTTATACAATGGAACTATTTATTATGAACTATGTTATATTATTTATATTTATATGTTATATTTTATTTATATTTATTATGTTATATTAAAATAAATATTTTAAAACAATTAATATGAATAAGCTAAATATAGTACATATATTATTGAATTTAGTGAAATGTTTTAAGGAAATTTGAATTAAATAATAAAATTAATCACATAATTTAAGTATATAGCTAAATACGTAATTAGATATTGTATTAAAATGATTACAACAAGATGATAACAAAATATATTTATCTATTTTTAAATAAAATTTTAAATAAATGAAATACAGATTATTATTATTTCGTGATATTCATGATATTTATTAAAATTTAAATTTAGGATGTTATTAACAATAATATTAATTAATAGCATTGTAAATCAAAATTGAAATAAAATATAAAAAATAAAATTTAAAACTTCATTCTACATATATATATACATTAAAATAAAAATTTATGTATATGAATTTCCTTTTTAATAACAGTAATTAAAATAAATTTATAAGTAAAAATATTATCAGATTACGATTTGATTATATTTTTTTAATAAAAATATTAAATAGATATATTTATTTATATACGTAATATTATTACGTATATAATTTAAAATATATTAGATATGTTAACAATGAAGTGAACATGAGTGAGTTCCAATGAAAAAAAAATTAGTGGCCCTGAAAAGGGCCGGTTTTTTTAAAGCCTGGAAAATAGACAATATCTTCTCATTTATTTATACTTGTATATTTAGTAACTGCCTTTGTACCTTCACTAACTGCATGTTTTGCGAGTTCTCCGGGCAATAAAAGTCTCACAGCAGTTTGCACTTCTCTCGATGTAATAGTAGATCGTTTATTATAATGTGATAAACGAGATGCCTCAGCAGCGATTCTCTCGAATATATCATTTACAAAACTATTCATAATGCTCATGGCTTTGCTCGAAATACCTGTATCCGGATGAACTTGCTTTAATACTTTATAAATATAAACTCCATAACTTTCTTTTCTTTTTTTCTTTCTTTTTCCTTCTACTTTATTTATAGTAACATTTTTTGGGATTTTAATGGCCTTTTTAATTGCTTTTCCAACAGCTTTAGGAGGCATATTTGCTTAACGTATATATGACAAAATATGAACACACAAAATATCTATACTCGTCTCACAGAGTTCTTTCAATCCAGATTTGCTTTTATAGCAAATGAAATAACAGCATCGCTTCAATCATATGAAAGTACATGACCGAAAATATTGATGTTCAATTCTCATTGGACGAAAATCTGACGTTGACTTATATCAATACTTTTGATGTTTATAATAGGTCGAATGTCTAAACAATAAACGACATATATATATATATAGAACTATAAGAATAATTTTAAAATTCTCATACTTATAAAATATTAAATATTAAATAATATTAATTTTTTTTTATAATGCAGAAAAATTTTCTTCTCTATAGTTATTTATTTCGCACAAAAATGATTTTGTTTTGGTCAAAACAAATAAGAGTAATAATAAAGAGTATAATATAAATAATAAAAAAAATACTTATCTGTTCCTAAATGTCCCTAAAAATCCCGATCAATTTTTATCTCGTTTCAATTATATTTTTGTAATTATTTAAAAAAGTTTGAACTTTTAAAATTTAAAATTTAATACTTTTCCAATGAAAATATCATTGACATTTTCTTTAAATGTAGTCAGATTAGGTATAGGTAAAGAAAGAATAGATAATTTTAGATTATAATAATAATATGTATATATTTTATTATAATTCATCATGATTTTGATAAATATTAAGACTTTCTTCTTTTTCTTTTGATATAAGTCAACGTCAGATTTTAGTTATTTTAGCTCTCAATTGCAATGTTTTCTGTTTCGGCATAAAGAACCATTTTGAAATTAATGGATGGAATTTATCAAACAATTATACAAATCATAAATATTTATATATATATTTAGAATTATATATATTATATATATTTATCATTTAGAAGAAATGCTTATTTTCATTTCTAATATATTTAATGCAAAACGTAAAAAAAAAAAAAAAAAAATGAAATAAACGCGGAAAAAATCAATACACAATATCAAGTTATTTATGATGACATATATGACTATGTTATAATTTTTATTTATGACTATGATATATGATTGAAAGATAATGGAAAATCTTATAATTTGATGGAACCATAAAATCAGTTTTAACAGAAACAGAAATTTGATAGATTATTAGAATTTTATCAATTTCTTGTGATTTTAATATTCATGACAGTATAATATATAATTTTTATTAAGAATTTGAAATATTAAATAGTGATATTAATTAAGTTATTATATCCTGAATACAGAATAACTATGAACGATATCGCATTATTATATGTACTATTTAATATTCCATTCAGAAGTAAGATTCACATCGAATAAATTGAATTTAAAAAATAATAATATTATATAATATCTATAATTATTAAATGCATAAATGTATTCCTTAAATTAAATTTTTTAAATTGTATTCTTATATGTTTAAGGAACATTCGATTTATTCAATTCATAAATAACAAATACATTAGCGAAACGTCCGATAAAATGAATCAAAGAATAGAGAAAGATTCAATCTCATTAAAACTGAAATAAAAAGACTAAAATATACTTTATTATCGATTATTTCAAATTATGTTCTATATTATACTGGATTATAATGGAAACATGTATTTCGGCTGCATATGATCAAAACATTTGTCAAATGAATAAGCTTTTTTTTTGTTCAGAATTCTTTTGCTAAAAACATTAAAAATAGTTATATTTTTTAAATAATTTTTAAATAATTATTATTATATATTTATATAATTTTAAATAATTATATTAAACATTTAAGATAATAATAATCTTTTGATTGAATGAAAAATAAAATTCCTTTTCAAATCGTAAGTTATGAAAATAGACGTATTCACTATTGGATTCATTAATTGGATAAAAGAAGTTATATTTATTTCTGAAAAATGTTAATATATCATCAATCTTATACGAATTATAAATTTTGTAATAAAATATATTTATACTATTACTGAATATAACTTCAATAGAATCAGCGGATAATGATATTATATATTTCATATTATAATTATTTATAATATTATGTCTATAAAATTAAATTTAATAATTATATAATAATGCTCCAATTTTTAAATTATTATCTTGATCAAAAAATAAAAAATGATCATTATTTTATTTTTGCGAAAAAAAAATATAATTAAATTCTATTGTCATATTTCTATTATATATTTTTTTTTAAATTCAATTCAATGAATATTCATGAAATTTTTTTTTAAATATATAAGATAATACTTTATATTATTAATATTATATAATATTATTATTAATATTATATAATATTCTAAAAATATATTTATACATATCTAACAATCTAAGAAATAAAATTCTTCGATTTTCTGATCTTTTTATAATATCTAATTATCCAATAAATTCTTCTCTTTTATTATTTATTTTTTATTAAATTGAATAAGAATTACTGTATTATAATTGAATAGAATTTTTCTATTTTTTTCATCACGTTTTATTAACTTAATAAATTTTTTAATATTTTTATTTTCATATAAAAATAATTCGAAATCTTTATTTTATTTTTATATTTTTATAATCTGGTGATTAAAAACGAACTGCATTCTGTAAAATATCTATTACAAAATATTTATTTCACATACACATATATCATTATACACATATACAATTATATATGTCATACAAAATTTTAAAGTTCGGTAAATCACAAAAGATTTAAAAAAAATATTTTGCATATTTTAGAAAAGAAATATATATTGTATATATAAATTATATATAAATTATATATCATATTATATAAATTTCTTTGAGATTCTTTTAATACAAAAAAATTTTTATATTTTATTTAATATTGAATCGTAATTTTAATATTCAACAAAGAAGAAACAAAACTAATTAGTTCGAATAAAAAAAGAAGGTTCTAAAATGAATGCTTTGTTCGTGGATCTTTTGTTCTCAGAAAACACTCAACTGACACACCTGGTGTTAGAAGAAGGGGAAACCCTTCGTTGACCTGAGCAGTTCGCCGCCATATGGTTAACTGGAAAAGGGACAGTTCTACAGTATGGCAACGTATTTTGCCAACGGATATCCTGAAATATATAATATGTATTCTGAATTTTATATATACATATATATATGTATATATATATACATATATAATGTATATATATATATATATGTACCATACTACAACCACTTTTGAATTTTTAAGACAAATTATGAATTTTTAATAGTTCTCTTATAATAATAAATCTTCTCTTTTTTATTATGAATAAGAATAAAGAATAAATTGTTTTAAATAAATATTAAGTATAAATAGGAATTCAATATTGAATTTTAAAAATATGAATGAAATTTAATGTTACTTTTTTTTTTACAAATAAATATATGATATTACAAATAATTAACTTATTTCTTATATTACTTCTATATCTTATATAAAAAAATATGTACAATTAAATTATACATTATATATACTATATACTATAAAAATATAATAGATTCATTAAATAAAATATCAAAAAATATTTATAGTATGTATTTCATTAAAGATTAATAGTCTTTAAAAAATTAAAAAATAAAAAATTATTATTTCACATTATATAACATTAATTCTTAACATTTTTTCCTATAAGTATCAAATTTTGATAAAATTTCAAATATTAACTTATCTATTTCTTTTTCTATAATTTCACTTATGATTTTTGCATTTAAAACATATGTAAGTTTATTAAAAAACAAAAAAAACTAATCTTAACAATTTATTCAAAATTTTTATTAGAAAAAATTGGATATTAAAGATCTATATTTTCATATTTTATGTATGTTTAAAAAAAATATATGTTTGCATATACAGTAAATTTATAAGTAATATGTATTAGTAAATTTTTATTTCAATCTTTTAAATTTTAATATAAAAATATAATATATAAAATATCCATGTATTTCTATTACATTAAATATTAATATATATTTATAAAATAATCAATACACATAAACTTAAAAACTTTCAATAATAAAAAAATTTTACCCAAATTCATCGAATTAATGTTTAAATATATAAAATAAATACATAAAAATTCAATTAAAACATGAATTTGTGAATATGTAAATATGTGATTTGATTATGAATTACATATTAATTATATGTATGCTTATTTAGCCAGTAATTCTCGTAAGATTCAAACTTCGATTTATAAATATTTTGGATTTTTTCAACTGCAATATAATTAATTTCAATATCTTCCAAATATACATGTATTAAAAATATAAATTTTTTAATCTTTCAATATATATTTAAAACCACGAATTTTATTACTACGAATATATTCTTTCGATATCCGTTTTTTTTGATGATTCTACAAAAAATGCCTGAATATCTGTTATATCCCAACTATTATATCTTTAGTTTAAGACGTAAAGCTGAGAAAAATGTAATTTTTAATATTCTTATATAATCTTCTCTTCTTGAAGTTCTTGGTATAGTACTGAATATTTATTTAAAATATTTGAAAATTTTTTGAATAGATATTTTCATTAATGTTCTAAATTATAATATTTTATTATTATATTATTGTTGCTACTTTACACTTGATATAGCTCTTACATCGAAAACTCTGTTTGTTTTCATATTTCTTATCGGTTTATCTATAAAGAAAAAAAATTTATATAAGTTCACTATTTGATTATATTATAAGCAATAATTTTTTATATAAATATTAAATTTTTATTTTATATTATATTGCATAAACTGATTTGCTACATTATTCAAAGAAAACATTGTTAAACGATAATATTATTATATAATCTGTCTGTCACTTTTTATTACATAAAAATTAAGATGATTATGTGTATCTATTAAAAATATGTGTAAAACAACATGAATTTATAATTGGTAGCACTTCTTTTAGATAAGATAATAAGAGAATTACCTTATATATTTTGAATAATTTCTTGAATAAGTCTTTTAAATGATTTTTTAGGTATTAATAATTTCGTCTTCTTTTGATAATGATATATTTCTTGAATGGCATTATTTTTCGAGCGAAATTTATTCTTTATATTTCTATTATTACACTGATTTATGCGCGTCATTTTACGTTGCAAAAATGAATAAACTTCTCATCTGCTATGCTTTGAATGTGCAGATGGGAGCACTCATATATATGTCCTCGGTTCAATACGTTGTGTCTTTTGATTGGTTAATGTTGAAACGGTGGGGATATAGCCTTTCGAACATATAAAAGGCCTGAAAACTAAATTTGTACATCAAACGAATTCAGAACTTCATAGTTTGTTATTCTGTTGTGAGATTTCAAGATGACTGGTCGTGGAAAGGGAGGAAAAGGATTGGGAAAGGGAGGAGCAAAGCGTCATAGAAAAGTACTTCGTGATAACATCCAAGGTATCACAAAACCAGCAATTCGTCGATTGGCTCGTCGTGGCGGTGTTAAACGTATATCTGGTTTAATTTATGAAGAAACTCGCGGTGTTTTGAAAGTTTTCTTAGAAAATGTTATCCGCGATGCAGTTACTTACACCGAACACGCCAAACGGAAAACTGTAACAGCTATGGATGTCGTATATGCTCTGAAAAGACAAGGACGTACTCTTTATGGTTTTGGAGGTTAAAATGGAAGATCATTGTTTTTATCAACGATCAGCAAAAACGGCCCTTCTCAGGGCCACAATTTTCTTTTAACTTGAGAACACTCGCTTGTTCAATCCAATTTAAAATATTTTCTATCTATATTATATACTGTGTATATTCCAAGTTGTTATATTTTTTTTGTAAGATATAACAGTGGATCATAAATTTGAATTAATGATCAAGTACTAATAAATTAAGTATATAATTATTGAAACTATCCATATCTTGAAATAGTAAAAAAAATTAACATCGTTTTCGTTATAAATTTTTTCACATTATAAATAATAAATAAATATATATACAATACAATATAATATTAAATTATACAATACAATATTAAATATATTAAATATATAACTTTTTTTATAGTAAAAATAAAATTGTTTTATTTTATATAAATGTTTTTGCTCTAAAAAAATGTAAAAAAAATTTTTACATTTCATCTACATTACATTACATCTACATTTAATTTCTTTCTTTTATATATATAGAAATAAACGTAATTGAAATATTTTTTTCTTTATAAATAAAAAACATTTTGAGAACTATTTTATAAAATGACATTTTAATGATATATTGCATATTTACTGCGAACGTGACTAATTCAAAATATATTAATTTAGAGGAAACGATTTTGAATATTTTGAATCATTACAAGAACATATAAGAATTATATCAAAATACTAGAAATTCACGATTTGAAAGATTCTATTAGTAAGAGAATCAAATGATATTTTCTATATCAGTAATTCAATAAGTACAATTTTGAATTGTACAATTTTTTTCAATAAATGAGATATATATATTGAGGTCTTATATAATATAGATATATAAATTTCATTCGTATTAAATTTTTATCAAAAATAATTAAAAATATATGTAAAATATGTATTAAAATGCTTATGAACTATGAGATCATTGTTCCTTTAGCTGAATTTAATTGGGGGCCCTGAAAAGGGCCGTTTAAGTTTAAAAAATCAGGTTAAGCTTTTTTTTCTGTCTTCTTTGGTAAAAGTACAGCTTGAATATTTGGGAGTACACCACCTTGTGCTATTGTTACTCCAGAAAGTAATTTGTTCAATTCTTCGTCATTACGAATAGCTAATTGTAAATGACGTGGTATAATTCTTGTTTTCTTATTGTCGCGAGCAGCATTACCAGCCAATTCCAAAACTTCAGCAGCTAAGTACTCCATTACAGCTGCCAAATAAACCGGAGCACCGGCACCAACCCGTTCAGCATAATTTCCTTTTCGCAAAAGACGGTGAATACGACCAACAGGAAATTGTAATCCTGCTCTGTTAGAACGAGACTTAACTTTCCCCTTAACTTTACCGCCTTTTCCACGTCCAGACATATTGTTCAATCACAAAGTTTCGCTTGGTATTAATTTTTGGAATGCCTTTACTCCGAATATATGTATTCGTAGATGGCAGCAGGAAAGCACTAATCAGAATACAGTATAGCATGTTCTGTATTACACAGCGTTCCAATTGGTGCATACATCTTATAAATGGAAAAGCTGAGTTCTAACGGAATTAACCTATACGTTTATAATAATATATATGAAAAAACAAATTAAATATTTATCATATTATATATTAATAATAATAAATATTAATAATAAATATTAAATATTAATCATATTAAATATTAAATCATTCATAGACAATAAATTAAATATATTATCTGTTAGATCATTAATTATATTATTCATAAATGTAAATTAAACATAAAAATAAAACAGAAATTATATAAAATAAATATTAAGTTCATAATGTATATATATATATATATATATATATATTCACTATATTATATGTATTATATATATTATATATATTATATATTATATATTCACTACTATATTCACTTATAAGCTACATAAAAAAATATAACTGTTATAACTTTTCAATGAAACTTTTCAAAATTATTCTTTCAAACTTTTCAAATTATCAAAATTAATAATTAAATATACAATAATCAAAATTGTTTAAAATATTTATAATAATTAAATTTTTCAGATTTTTTAAATAAAAGAAAATTACTGACGTAAACATATTTAATAGGCCATTTTATAGGCTATGTAAAAAACATTTTTTTAGAATTATAAAATCCATTGTAAAATTAAAAACTGATAAAATCGAAGTATTCGAATTATCCGAAGCAATTAGATAAATCAAATTAAATATTTATTAAGATTATAAAACTAAAATACAATACAATAAATTAAATTAGAAATATATATGTAACTTATTAGAGATATAGAATAGTTAGTAATCTATATTTTGCTGTAGTTTGTTTTTTTATGTTCGTTTATGCTAGACGAAAGCAGATTTTAAATATTTTCAAATATAAAAAAAGCAATAAAGAACATTTTTTATTTTTACACACACAATTATGAACAATAATTGATCAATAATCATACTTGCTTTAATTTTAAAAATATTAATATTAAGATGAAGTTGCAAGAATAAAATCTCTATTAAGATTTTTTGTTTCAAACAAAATTCAAAAATTTTAATACTACTATATTATTATATTATATAAGAATTTAAAATATATAGGGGATCCATCTTTTTTTTTTTCTAATATTTCGTCTTATAAAATAATTTAAAATTATAAAATGATATAAAAGATTAGTTTTATAATTTAATTATTTAATTAAAAACAAAATAAAAACATTATTTTTATTTAATAAGAGTTTATATAATATTTCATTTGAATAATGCTTTGATTATAAAAAAAATAATTTATAAGTTCTTTAAATTTGTAAATTTTAACATGAATTGATTTGAATATCTAAGTATTTAATATTATTATTTAATTATATTATATTATGCATTTGTTAATGTATAATGCAAATAATTGATTAATGCATTTCTTTGAAAAATAATTTTGCGCTTACTTTAAATATATATTTCCAGATGGCAGCAGGAGAGCACTAATCAGAATGCAGAAGTATGTGCTTATACCGTGCTGCATTCTGATTGGTGCACTATAGGTGCTCTGATACCTAATAAAAGCGGTGTCTAGAGGCTGCACCATCATTCTCATCATCGTTTCGAACGAGTAAGAACTGTGAGTAGAGACACGATTGTCGAAAATGCCACCAAAGACTAGTGGAAAAGCAGTTAAAAAAGCTGGTAAAGCTCAAAAAAATATCAGTAAAGCTGATAAAAAAAAGAAACGCAGAAGGAAGGAAAGTTACGCTATTTACATTTATAAAGTTCTTAAACAAGTACATCCAGATACTGGTATTTCTAGTAAAGCTATGAGCATCATGAATAGTTTTGTGAATGATGTATTTGAACGCATTGCGGCTGAAGCATCTCGCTTGGCACATTATAACAAAAGATCAACGATTACTTCTCGAGAAATTCAAACTGCTGTACGTTTGCTTCTTCCTGGTGAGTTAGCCAAGCATGCTGTCAGTGAAGGAACTAAAGCCGTTACCAAATATACTAGCTCTAAATAAGCAAATGACCACACAAACCTGCCCTTTTTAGGGCGACAAAAATTTAATACATAGGAATCTCTCGTTCTCTACATTTTTGTTCTTTAAATAAATAATTATTTTATAATTAATATATTTACAATTCTACCTTATAAGTTACTATTCATAAAGAAATCTCAAACATCATGTCTTTAAATAAAAAAGAAAAAAATAAATGTTTATATAATATACTCTTACAGTATAGATAATAAAAGTTCTTCATGTATATAGATATGAAATTTATACTATGTATATATTAAATTATAAGTATTAGATTTAATATAATTTATTATAAATATAATTATAACTATATTATACTATATATATATATATTTTATATATAATATATAACTATACTAATCGTGTACAAATTACTATTAATATATAACTAACGATATGTAATTATAACACATTCATATTTTTAAGATTAATTAATATTTTTGATATAAATTATTTTTATTCAAAAATTAATTGAATAAACTAAAAGTATATGATAAATATATTTCAGTAAAATCTTAAAAATTTCAAGTAAATATAAATTGTAATGAGAAATATTTTTTGCATATTGTTGCATAATTATAGCAATATATAATAATAAACGAATATAAAAATAATATAATTAAAATATAAAAAGATTTTAATAATTAATTTTTAATTAATTTTAATTAATTTATTATTTTATAATTTGTGAATTAGTTTTTGGAATACTGCATGTATTTCGTTACACGTTAAAATTATTGTATTTTTTAATTACGAAATATTTTAATATTAATGTTTTTCAATCTATCTAATAGTTTTTAAATTCCCAGATATTCTCCATTAAGATCTGATTAAAGAAACAAATTATTTAATAAGATAAATTTGATTAGTTTAAAAGCATACTCTATTAATATTATCTTATTAATATTATCATTATTATCAACTATTATCATTTTCTCAAAGAAAAAATTGGCAATAAGTTGGTTTTTAATAATAAGTTAGTTGTTATGTACTCTATACTGTCTTTTTCAAAGAGATAATAATTTTAAAATTTTATCACTACAGAAAGATATTATCAGATTTTCATCAAAATTTTTTTTGAAAAATATTATATAAAGATTTCATTAATATGAATTATAACTATCAAATCCATCCAGATTAAATATTTTTTTCGTCCGAAAAATCAGCTGAAAGATGCTAAGAAAGGAAATTTAAGTTATATTAAGTTATATATATATAAATTTTTTATATCAAATGAAAAGTTTAAATATTTAATAAAATTATATTCTTAGAGCAGTATGATAAATGAATTATTATTTCAAAAAGTCCAAAATTTTTAAAAATGTGAGTGTTACTATAGTTATGCATTGCATTATAATAATTATGTTAATTTGAGATTACATCTGGCTAGTTATCAATCAAAATATAATATTAATATAAGTTATTATATAATGTAAAAATAATATAAATTAAGCATTATGAAACTAATAAGACAATACATTTCAAAATAATTTAAAATGACTATAAAAATTCATGTATGTATAGGATTCTCTATATTTTTTATGATTCATATAGTATAACAATGATAATTTAATCATTAATAACATTTCATTTACAAAAAACAATACAAATATTAAATATTTTTTTAACAACTTACAGTAAACGAGAAAACTAGAAATTGTAATATAAATATAATAAAATCTTTATTGTAATACATATAATTT